GTGAGTCCGATTACACTTCCACCTCCCTTCCTAGGGAAGTTCCTGTCTGAGATGCTTTCTCAGATTACATTGCTGCCCAGGACTCACATTTCTTTTACCTATCTGTTGCCTTAGCTGCAGCTCTTCCTCCTGTTCCTCAAGGTTATTCCTTCAGTACTACATTACACGGCAGTTCTATCCGTGTGTCCGGATTTCTTGCTCCCTTCCAGGAATTGCTTAACATCTGTGATCTTCTCCTGTTTCTCCAGCTCTATTATTCTATTTACTTTTATTATAAAGTTATAATAACAGAAACTTGCAAGTCTGATTACACTTCCGCCTCCCTCTTTTTTAATGTGAACTACGGAGGTTCCTGTCTAAGATGCTTTCACAGATTACATTTCTACTCAGTACTCAAATTTCTTTTATCTATCTGTTGCCTTGGCTGCAGCTCTTCCTCCTGTTCCTCAAAGTTATTCCTACAGTACTACATTACACTGTATTTCTATTTGTGTGTCCGAATTTCTCACTCCCTTCCAGGAACTACTTAACACTTGTGATCTCCTCCTGTTTCTGCAGGCTTCCTCATCTTCCTTTGGTATTTGGCCAAAGTGCTGCAGTCTCGCAGGTCGAATTCCATGCAGTGCACGACTTCCAACAGCCTGAAGTTCCAGTCCAGCAGCACCAGCATCTGACCTTGTCCTGGCCAGGGGGACTTTGGATGTGAAACGCTCACACAAGGATTTTCCTGGAAACTCAATCAAACACTTCTTTGGTGGACTTGGGTGACTTCGTACCTCTGAGTAGCTTCGAGACGACACTGATATGTTTTTCCTTCAATATTTGTATGGCTCTTTTTTCTACTGTAAATATTTTTTTTAAAAAAATTCCTCTGGTGTAAAAAGTTTGTGAGAGTACATTGAAATTTAAACAATGTATATTAAAGACAAATTTTATTAGTGTGGATGGGATTACATCTGGATAAATATAGCTCAAAGTACTAGTTGTTTGTGTTCTGTACTAGGCCGGTTGCTTGGGACTGTAAGAAGCCTGGGACTAAACCTGTCCCAGCAGTGGTGGGATTCAATTTTTTAAACTACCGGTTCTGTGGGCATGGCGTGATGGGTGTGGTGTGGCTTGGTGGGCGTGGCGGGGGAAAGTTACTTCAAAATCCCCCTTCCCTCCTCATCCCACTAACCTGCTTTCCAGCTCCGTTCTCCTGGGCAGGGCAACCAAAGAAGAGCCAGCCGATCAGCTGGGACTCGATGGGAGGCAGAGAAGAGATGGGGTTGGCGGGGCCAGTCAGAGGCGGGATTGTCCGGTTCTCTGAACTACTCAAAATTTCTACTACCGGTTCTCTAGAACCAGTCAGAACCAGCTGAATACCACTGCTGTGTCCCAGCCTGTTCTTGGAAGCCCCCATATTTCAGCGAAGCTCCCACTAACAAAATGCAGTTTGGTGGTCAGAAAAGTAAGCTTCATTTAGGCACGAAAAACCAATTTCCTGATTGTGAGAGCCATTAATCAATGGAATCGCTTGTCTCCCGGAGTTGTGGCTGCTCCATCATTGGAGGCTTTCACGAAAAGTTTGGACGGCCATTTTGGACAGGATAGTATAAGGATGCCTGCCTTGGGCAGGGGGTTAGACTACAAGACCTCCAGGGTCCCTTCTAGCACTTGGATTCTATGACCTGGCCCTCCGCCTTTCCTCTTTTCTTCTGGGGCCAGTCCCTAGAATAGAGCAATTTTCTTTTGAAAGTTTACCTAAGAAGTGTTGGTGTAAGAGAAGACCACAAATGACCTTCCTCCTTTGTCTCTTGAGTAAAATACAAAAAAAACAAAACACCCACGAAATAAAGGCAGTGTCTGTCTGTGGGTCTCATACATGCTCCAAAAGGGCAACAGTCATCATTCATTTAGCTGTTTATGGCCAGGCCTGGGGAGCAGTGGTTAGAATGCAGCATGCAGTGTTAGGTGAATTTTGTTGTATATATACTGTGTATAGCAATAGCAATCGCACTTAGACTTATATACCGCTTCACAGTGCTTTTACAGCCCTCTGAGTGGTTTACAGAGTCAGCCTCTTGCCCCCAACAATCTGGGTCCTCATTTTACCTACTTCAGAAGGATGGAAGGCTGAGTCAAGGATTGAACTTCTGGCAATGAGCAGAGTTAGCCTGCAATACTGCATTCTTAACCACTATGCCACCACGGCTCTTAGATAGATATAGAGTTGGATGGATGGATAGAAATAGATAGATAGGTAGGTAGATTGGTGGATAGATAGATAGATAGATAGATGGATAGATGGATGGATGGATGGATGGATAGATAGATGGATAGATGGATAGATGGATGATAGATAGCAATAGCACTTAAACTTATATACCGCTTTATAGTGCTTTCCAGCCCTCTCTAAGTGGTTTACAGAGTCAGCCTCTAGAGGG